GTCAGGACTAGCGATTAGTATATCGTCTAGGTAGGCATAGGCGAAATCGAGTCCACGTAAAACATCGTGAATAAAACGTTGGAAGGTTTGTGCTGCATTGCGAAGACCAAAAGGCATACGGAGGAACTCAAAAAGACCAAACGGTGTAATGACGGCTGTCTTGGGAACATCATCAGGATGAACCGGGATCTGATGATATGCACGCGTCAAGTCAAGCTTACTGAAGATAACCGAGCCTTTTAAAGATGCAGTCAAGTCGTGAATGTGAGGGACTGGGTAACGATCTGGAATCGTTTTAGCGTTGAGCCTTCGGTAGTCACCACAAGGCCTCCAGTCCATGCCATTGTTCTTGGGTACCACATGCAAGGGTGAAGACCATGGACTGTTGGATGGTCTGATTATTCCCATTTCAAGCATGTGTTCGAACTCGGCTTTTACAGCACGCAGTTTCTCCGGGGATAATCGCCGTGGTTTCGCAAACACTGGCGGGCCAGTCGTCGTTATGTGATGAGAAACGTTCGAAGTCACACAAGGGACACAACGACTTGGCTTAAAGACATCCGGAAAGGACTGAATGATAGACGCGTAGGGACTAGAAGCGTCCGTCGTGCAGTACACGGGACTGAGGGGCGGCGTCTTTGTGACTATACCGGAAACAGAGAGTGTTGTGGTAGAATCTATCAACTTATGCTTGCCAGCATCTACCAGCAGCTGATAGTGCTGCAAGAGATCCATACCAATAATGCCGGTGGTCACATCTGCCACTATGAAAACCCAACGAAAGGGACGACGCAATCCAAGGTTGAGATCGAGGAATCTCCGACCATAGGTTGTGATGGGCGAACCGTTGGCGGCACGAAGTTGCAGAGACATTGGCCGCAGACGCTCTTCCTTCGTAGGTGGGATGACGCTAGCTTCTGCCCCAGTGTCAACTAGGAAGCGTATCCCAGAATGTCGATCAGTGACGAAGAAGAGGCGACATGGAAGTGGCTCGCCAGCGACGTTAGTCGCCGTCACGTGCTGGCTCACACGTTTCCCGCCTGGTTAGCCTCGAAGGTGCAAGGTCGAGTGCACTTTTTGGCATTGGCACCATAACGTTTATGGTACCAGCACAACCTGGGTTGGGATTGTCGCGATTTGGAACGTCTGCTACCGGTACGGGAGGCAGACCTGTTGCGCGAGCGAGACGTGCGACCGCTTGAAGAACTACCAGACCGCATTTCGTTCCTGATGCTGCACAACTCTCATACAATTTTGAGATGTGAGCTATAACATCGAAACTTGTTGGCTCAACAGCCGAGGGAGGATGTGGGTTTTTGAACGAATCCGTGGCAGTAGACAGTGCAGCTGAGATACTAGTGTTGGGTTTCGTAGCATCCACAGCTCTGTCAGCCGCTTCCGCCAACTCTATTAAGGGACACTTATGGAAGGGTGCGAGGATCCCTTGAACCGACTGTGGTAACCTCTGTAACCACAGTTGCTTGAGAAATGCTTCATCAATGTTGAAGTCAGCAATCAGCTGCTTCATCTGACGAAGCAGTTGCGTCGGCTTGCGATCACCCAGATGCACATCCCTGAAAAGTTCTTGCACTTTCTGCTGGTCAGTAAGTGCAACACGTTTGATGAGGGCGGTTTTGAGGCGATCGTAAAGATTCGGTGCTGGGTCATCTAGCACATCTGAGACGTCTTCGATCACATTTTCCGGTAAGCTGACGATGACTAAGTTGGACTTAGTTTCTTGTGATTGAATGTGTCTCAAGGCAAACTGAGCTTCCACATGGGAGAACCATGCAGATGGTCTGTGGGCCCAGAAGGTGGGAAGCTGGAGGGTTATGGCCATCTGCGCAGTCGAGTCGTTATCCGCCATTGATCAGGGAATTAACGAGGCACGATAGTGATGATAAAAAAAAATTACAATGCAAAAATAACCAATGAGGAGTGCAATAATATAAAAAAACGCTAGACGTGCCAAAAACAAAATAGGCCAGACAAATCAACGCAAGAGAACAAAGGTACTAGACAAAGTAAGAAGTGATACTCGGGCTCACCAATTTTGTAGGGATGCGTGTTACAATTCCGTAACGTTTGATCAACCCTACTTAATTTGATGTGCTCTAGTACCTGCTTAACCAGTACTTTACCTAACGTGTAAGTACTGGTAACAAAACACAAATCAAAAGAACTGATACGCAATGTATTTAAAGGAGCTATGTATTTAAGGTAAATGTAATAATAATGAATGAGGGAAAAGTTTAATCAACTTATCTGGCTTGTAAGGCTGAACTAGGGACTCGGAGTACGTGCGTGGTAATCAGCACAATGGAGCGCAAAAATGGCGTCCAAGCCTGCTCGGATGCATGCTCGTTAAAACAAAACTTAAAACACCCTAAGCATCCGGAGGCAAGCTAGAGATTTATTTAGTTAATTTAATTTAAACTATTTATTTTAGCCCTAGTTATATTTTGGTGCCAGGAAGGTGCACTACAGATGGACCGTGGAGCCAGTAGGTCTGAAGGTGAGTGGTTTTGTAGAGTTCGGTGTTGCCGATCGTCACTATTTGTTGGATAACTGTGCACCTTTCTGAATTTTGTGGTGATGATGTAGTCTAGAATGACGAAGAAAGCTTGATGATTAAGCCATCCAGGTGAGAGAGGACAACAGCATGAAGATAGTGAGCTTTGGTTAATCTCGCTATTGCTGACATGGTGTATGCGACATGTGTGAGGTGTGCTAGGAGAAGACTTGTGTTGCGAGACCTGTCATGTTTTCACATTGTCTACTTTGAACGGCCATGTCGGAGAGCCGTATAACAGGACAGAGTGAAATGCAGCACAGTATCGTGATGCTTTACGATGTCAGGTATCTGGGTAGTCGGCGTGAGAGATGACGCCGTTTGGGAGATATGAAAGGGGCCTTGTGTATCCGAGGTGAGATGTGTTTGTCAGGCAAGACTAGCCCGTGCTGGCTGATGCAACTGGTGAATTAAGTGGTGTGTTCGGAGGCATTCGACGACTTGACTGATTATTATCATCGTTATGTGGGAGTGGGTAAAGCATGCGTAGTTGTGGAGCAGCATCGACAGAAGCGAGATGTATGTCGAAGATACAGAAGTGTAGAAGCCGGTGGATTTTGTCATCGTCTTCGCTTAACAGGACATTGTTGTGTGCATACTGCAGGGGGATGAGGCACTGTGCATCGAGTATGTCAACCCCTGTAAGGTCTGAGGTACGGATGTAGGTTGATGTGGATTAGTATGAGTATGTGTGTGAGGTGGTTAAGGAGAAAGGGGGACGACGAGTAGGCCTCCGTGATGGACATGACGGATGGTGGTCCATTGAGAGAAGAACTCTCTTGAAGCAGTTTGCTTATTACACGTCTGTTTGTGTGATTCCGAGTAGAGAGCCAGCCTTGATTCGGATAATATAGTTGGTCGGTATTGGTGTTACAGTGATGATGATACACTGTGAGACACACTGTTGGCGGACAGAGTTGAATGCTGCCTTCAGTTGAGTTTATTTCAGATGATGTGATGTTATGAAATATGGGAATTGTCGTCCACCGGTAAGTATACTTGTGTTGTCACACGTGTGGAGGGTTGAAGATGATGGTGATGGATGGACCGTGGAGCCAGTAGGTCTGAAGGTGAGTGGTTTTGTAGAGTTCGGTGTTGCCGATCGTCACTATTTGTTGGATAACTGTGCACCATAGCTTCTTGAAGAGGTTGTTGATTGAGGAAGTAACTGGCCGAGTGATTAATTGGCACACCGAGTGCCTAGCATGCCTTCAATTCTACGAAATTCAAGATAGAGTGTGTGAGAGAAGTGTAGTGGTTCACGTTGTGACACACCTGACAAGAGCATGTGAAGAACAAGTGAGTAGAGAGGGAGTGATATGAAAGTAGGTGGATGCGAAGAAAATGAATTAGCAAGATGAAGGTGAGTTATTGGGAATGTTGAATTTGTCGATGATTGAATGAATACATGTGCACCGGTGTTATTTATATATTGAGGCATGTGAACAACGGTCTGGAGGTATTGATTCGTATTGTCTGGAGGACAAGCATCAAGCAAGCAGTCTAGTGGACAGAGACCAAGAGTCAGAGAGAGACTTGATGGACTGGTGCCACCCAGATCTTGGTGTGGCCACCGTGAGCCTTCCTTCTTCCAAGTCAATCATACATTGTACGTGGAGGTAGTCGGTGTTTCGGCATGCGGAAGACATGTGCTAGCCACCTCAGTTGGTGATGTTTCACAACCTCATCTACTGAGTGGGTGACTTGCCTAGTATGATGGGCCTCTTTCTGAATTCTGTGGTGATGATGTAGTCTAGAATGACGAAGAAAGCTTGATGATTAAGCCATCCAGGTGAGAGAGGACAACAGCATGAAGATAGTGAGCTTTGGTTAAGCTCGTAATTACTCGTATGATTTATGCGGTTTGCTGGATAAATTATTTGTTATCGAACGGGAGGTTTGTGGTTGTTTTCTTAGGATATTTCCGGTATAGTATTTGAGGAATGACGTTATTTAGAAACAGGTGGAATTTGCATTTTTTGATTGGTATATGTTAATTCTCTTGTTTTTTCATCATGTCATTGGGAGATATTTTGGAAAAAGTGCACTGCGTTTGTGAGACTTCAACGAGTTAGGTTGTTTATAGAAGTGTTTGGAATGTGTACCCTGTGTATTGTGTGCATGAGTTGAAGGATGGAGTCTATGGGGAAACTATTGCTCGAATGTGGGCATGGATTCCGTTTCTGGAGAGGGTTGAAATTGTGAACCTGTTTTATTCGAGTTAAAGGCATTGACGAATGCGTGAGAACTACGTATAATGATGTAGTAGGTATATACTCAGAGCAGCTCCTTGCTTCAAGATCTTATGGAAATCGGTTGGTTGGTATCCTTTGCTTATTTTAGTGAATTGAGGTTGCTAATTACAATAATATAAGCTTTCAATTTTTTATTCGAGAAAATACTGGCTCGATAGACAGAAAATTGTACATCAGAGAAAAGCTTCAAGATCTAAATCCAACGCTGAGCAAGGCAGTGATAATTCGAAATTCTTCAAGACTTCAGGGTGTAGTATCCCAACTCGCCCAATAATTCTGTCACCGGGCTCTAGGATGACATCAGCACAACGACCATCAAAATAGGTTGGATCTAAAAAATGAAATTATGCATTGATATTTGATTAGAAAATTCTACTACAAGATACCTGTGAAATTACTCACCGAGAAAAGTGACAATTTAAAATCAATTGGAATTCTGAATACTACACCACTTCTCTGAAGGTATCAGTTAGCATTTGGGTGATTCGAAAGATTTAGTGATTTCAGCTAGATAAATCGATACACACTTCTGAGAAGCGAAACGACATTTCAGTGCTCAAATCCTCTCGATCTGGGTTAGTGAGTAACAATGATCAGCGTGGATGGTCTGCACTTGCATGTGCCAATTTGTTGCATCTAGCGTACAAGTGATAATCAGACTGAACGAAAAACGTTTAATTCTTAACATATAGATTTTAAAAAATGTAGTGATAATCAGTCATAGGAACGGAAGCAACAACTTAAGAGTAGAGTAAGTTTCTGTAGTAAATTTTTGGGAAAATTTAAAGCAAGTTATTGCCCATTCGGTTTCAAATGTGCAATAACAGTAATGATAAATAAGATGTTGTAGCTTACATGGCTCTAGCAGTGGGATTTGGAACTCATCATTTAGATGTACCTTCACCCCGGTGAGGAATGGAAATAACAAGTATCAATACACAATAACTGATACTCGATACAGAAGAGGTGGTTATCGTGTCCCACTAGCCCATTGGACAACACTTTGGCTTTTGAAGCGATGGGTATTGGGTTCGAGTCTCAGTGAATACACTGGGTGATGATTGAAGGTGAAATGAAAATTCGGATCGCGGCTAGATTGGAGCCAGCGACCACCGGGTTTTCGGCACGCTGCTCGTAGCTCAGTCAGTAGAGCAACGGACCGGAAACCCAGTGGCCGCTGGTTCGAATTCGGCCGCGGTCCAAATCTTCATTTCACTTTCAATCATCACCCAGTATTTAAAATTTGTTTATCGACTTACTTCGTCCTTCATTATTACGTAGGTTTTATTTTTGCAAGCTTTTTACCCTCTTTGATTATCAAAGTATCTATATTTTCATGATGTTTCTTTGGTTCTCTTCATTATTATCATGTATATTACAGCTGCTTTAGTCAACACTGTCATTATGACTGACAACTTTTTCCTATTGTCATGGTTAGGAAAGGGACAAGTTTACGATTGTACAGCGTTTAGAGAATGAAATCGCCGGAAAGTAGACTCTTCGCTGAAGCACTATCATCAAGAACAGAATCGAAAACTGTTTCTTAAGGTACATCGTATAAGGTGTAGTTTTACTTGTGTAATCTTGGAGTAGTATATTAAAACAAATAAACCAATATTTTGTATTATTCCTCAACGTTCCGATCTTGCTAGGAAGTTTGTTTTCAAAAGTATGAATCTGACATTAAGTTTCCAGGTTAATATTCAAGTTTTGGTACAGATATGGAGTAAAGATCAATGTAATACAGGTAAGTGAATAAGCAAATCAGTCAGAGAGGCTTTTTTCAGCTGTGTGGGTAACGTTGGGGAGTAATACAAAATACTTGTTTTTGTAATTTGTTCTAATATACTACGCCGGGATTACACAAGTAAAACTACACCTTATACGATGAATCATACTAACTCGGTGCCCAGGTTTTTCAAATCATCCACTCCATTGTTGGTCGGGATACCCTCAAACTTGTTTCTTAAGGCAGTTAGAAATTAAGTATTAATATCTTAACAGTAAGATCATGCTAAAAGAAGAGATGAGGGGTACTTCTCTTTTGGATATAAAGAGTCCTAGTAACTTCTGCTGTGAAGAACACAGACTCGAATAGCATTAGTAAGACAAGATTCATATCATCCTACGACTAAGACCAATAAATTCTGCTTGAAAAGTCATCAGTATGTAATAGTTACATATCAATAAAAGAATTATAGTGGAAATATTAGATCCAGTCTAGTAAATGACTTCAAATTTGTTGTTTATAACAGATACATAACTCTTTACCACGATAAACTTGTCCCAGTGGCTGGTTTTAAAAAACACCTAAACTGTGATAATGTATAAGTGTTCATATATCGTCTAGAACATACTGAGCGGACACTAACTCTCTCTCTCCCGTCCACCACCTGCATTTTTAAACCCTACGCAATGAACCATTTATGTTGCTTGTGAGAATTTATGATAGATACTACCCGGTTGTCTGACACCTTGACCCTAGATTCTTTTGCTAGCCACAACCAAGTAAATTATCTTGACCCACTTAGTTCAAAGTCAACTGTCCAGACCAATGAACCACACACCTCTACGCATGTTAAACACACAACTCAATCGGCGAATTTGAAATACATATAGCCTTTCTCAAGCCAGCAGTCTTAAATTTAGTAGGTGTATCGAGATTGACTGTGAGCTTTGCAAGTTCGAGAGCATTCTAAACCACAGTTGCATGACGCATTACGAAACTCATCACGCAGATATAATAGTAAAACTAAACTCACCTGAAGTAGCTTTCAATTTATAAGTCATACATGACTGGATTTCAACATCGCCAGACTTTTTCCCAGCTTTAAACAAAACTGATTCAACCTGGAATAATTGCATCAACCTGTCTAACAGACCATGAATAATTTCAAAACCAGAATTCTTATTATAGTGGACAGCGCAAATACGGCGGTGATTAGAAGCGCCAACATCTGAATAGTAAAATGAATGCAGTAAATAAACATTGAACACACTTTGAAGTATGAGAGTACGGTTAACACACATAGTATGCACAAACAACGGCAGTCCTATTATACCAACGTCCTACTATATAAAGCGCGGTTCAAACTTTAGAAAGTAAATTTGCTGTAGCAGACAAAACAGAGGCCTTAGATACTTTCTCACAGAAATCACATCATAAGGTCAGTTACATCGGTTACCTTCTGCTGTGTACATATTACAGTCCTAGAGGAAATAAATCATCGCTTCACTATCTTGTTAATAAATTCTCCAATTTCTGCACTGCATGATATCAGTTCATGTCATCGAGGAAAAGCCAATTCCCTCATGGTCGGCATTGATCTGCCTTGTTCATAAATGCCAACAAGTAAGAAACCTAGCTGGGATTTCTAACCGATTTACTCCTAACATTTGGCACCAAGGTAATAGCTTTTCTAAGATATATGTAATAGGAAGTGAATGAACTGAAAACTAACAATTCAGATTATCAGTTGCTGCATCTTACAATTGATCAAATGTCAGAAAGACAGTAAAAAATATGGTTTGTCGTAAGAATCTCAGTTAACTCACCTTTCGATGGGTTTTTGACCACAATATCCTGAACTTCAAATAATTTCAAGGGAAGCGGTAAACTTCTATTACTGGCTAAAGTGTGCAGAATTCCTGGTAGTAAGCTTGTTCGAACCACCTATTAATAAGCATAAACAAAGGCAAGTGTGAAAAATGTAATGTCGACGACTGAACAAATATCTGAGAGAATGCGTAAAGTGTGTGCAAGAAAATACGGCGATATAAGTTGGCAAACCATTACAATCCAGTGTGTCAGTCAGTGGCATCGTTGTACTACACTTGCTGACGGAAGATTAAAATACAAGGCAACGCGATGAAAAATAGAGAAATGAAGAAGAAACCAATCAAACGTGGCAGAAAGTACGGCAAACAACGTGTTGTGATGTGATGAAGATACTGTACAAATGCATGTATACCACTAAAATCAATTCTGAGACATATCACCTAGATTATTCAGCCAGCCAATTCTCACGTCACACAGATTCCAACCAAGAGATTTGCATTTCCATGCACAGCTTAAGCCAGCCATCATAAACTTCATGAAGTGATGCAACGTTTGAATTAGACAGCTTTTAAAAATATTTTTAACCTACAGTCAATTCAGCTCATATCACATGATACGGTAGACGATGACTAGGTGTGATAACACATGTCCCAGCTATCTGAGTTGATGAGGGTTCACAACCTCATCAACTGACTTGCCTACAACTTTACACAAAACGTCAAAACCGTTATCTTGATGGTACCACGACACATAAATCATAATTCAATATCTCACAGACCTAGACCCATGTATTTTACAGTCATCTAAACAACTCAGAACAAGATTAAATAAATGCATACATTGAGGTCTAGTTTCACTGTGACAATGAAACATTTTCACGCTGTTTGCACAAACAAACATAAATCAACATAAAACATGGTGTAAGAGTGAATCAATTTCAAATGCCAAACCTCACAACAATTCAAAAAGAAATGGATACTGAAATAAACAATTAGAATATAAGTGAAAGGCGAAAAGAGGCTGTGAATCAATGATTCAGGCAGTTGGTTTGTAACCGGTAAGCTACGGGTTCGAACATGCTACCAGCTGAGGACTGGACAGCCAAGTAGTATCATTAGCCTTCACACAAAAGCTGCGGTCTGTCGCTTACTCCAGGAATGTACACAAGGTTGCTGAGCATGCTTTGCTTTTATTCGTTCGAAGAAGGAAATAAATAGAAACATTGTATACTCAGTATTTGCCTTCTGCAGATAGCAGTGTTGTGAATGCAGTATTCATTATGGGCATTGGTTCGTTGTTACGCAACAGTACTCCGGACTAATCCTCAACCTACATGTTCCTAGGAAGAACACCTACGACCCGCTCTCTTCTACTATAAGACTGTGAAACACGCCCACTAAAGGCTTTAGGTGCTCGACGAACCTTTTTTTCATGGCATGAGCTGTGTCGTGCTGTCACCACCTCAGTTGTTTAGAAGTCAAGTGTGTGGTTTTAGGAAGAACAGGAATGCCACTTGATGGGATTGTGATTCTTCATCGACTCAGGTGGCTGGGATGTGTTACGTATGCCTAGTTACCATCTGTCACGTAGCTTGGTGTTAGCTATAGTAGGGTCAGGCTTTAAAAAGATCAGGAGCAGTTAGCCTAAAACGTGGCATCAGTGCATTAAGTTCTTGACAGTTGGTATGAGCCAAGTAGGGAGAGGCTGATTAGCCGGTTAGGGTCCACATGAAAACATAAACCAGTAGTGGCAGAATACGTGATACGGTTCAGCATCGATGTCATCTTAACCGCTATACTGAATTCAGCATTTTCTCATTCATCCTTACTCTCCTTTACTGCTTTTGACCGATTTTTCACTCATTCTTTCTTTCTTCATCTTACTACTTTGCTACTTGTTGTAGTGATTTGAGGCGTGACAGCTTGGATTAACAGATAAGTCCAGTCAATCAGCAGGCAGTGGAAAAGCAGAAGCGTTACACGTAAACAAATCCAGAGAAATTTTCAATCGAAGAGGACTGAGTAGACGATTAATGCAGGTTGCATTACAAATATAGTTTGTTAGGGGGCGGGCGTGAAGATTAACGTAAAAGAGATAAACAAGCATTACACATCACCACCAGTATTGTATACTTCCTGAACATTTTTTTGAACATAGCATTCATGTAACCTATTGATCGACAGGATTGAATGTTACTTCCACGTAAGATGAAATAGTAGCTAGCGTCGAGTGCCGGTAAGTGCGGTGTGAATGCGATCATCGTTAGCGTGATAAGATATCAACTGGTATTTTTATTTGTCAAACTTTATCACAATGTTCCAGTGAAGTTTAGTGTCAGGACAGATATGAATGACTATGATAAAACTTCGCGAAATCAGCACCTAACGACTTAAGGTCAAGAAAAAAATTTAGGAGTTATATGTTGAAAAGATAATTGGTAGTCTCTAATACTACTAAGAAATATCACTATTTCCTAAACATTGGACTCGCAAATGCCAGAAAGTTAAATATTTTCATTCAGGCTGATGGGAAATTTGAACTTCTATAAGATCTGGGCCACAAAAACACCCGAAGCGGTAACTCATGGGTTTAGATGCTCGATTTCGAACCCACGGCTCATAAGTTCGAACTCTGCTCCTCCTACCAAGGTCTGGGCATCCATGTAGTATTTGTCCTCATACGACAGGTGAGGCTCGTCGCCTAATGCATTAAAATTTTCTCCATAAACTATCTCCCTGAATGGTTGATCCGCAAGATCACCTAACCATGACCGACATCGACTCACATGACCCTCTACCCTAATCATCAGCAGCTTGCAGTGAAACTAAACGTGTTCAGTTCTCTCTTATTTTGCTTTTTTCAATTGCTAGTGGTTAGTTTGGGAGATCACATTTAAGTACCTGGAGATCGTTTTCTTGTATATATATCCGAGTATAACGTAGCATGTCGCTCACAAGTTCGAATCATATCAGACTGAAAGTGGGGTGTAGTAATGTAACTGACTTGTCAACGTAAAACCAATGACAGAGCTCCTGATACATTAGTTCATAAGTGAAATCGTTTTCAAATAATCTGAATAAAAATTCGTCACATTCTTACTTCCACCACAATGTGCACTGAAACTAAAGGTATATAAAGTTCTTAAAAGATGCCAAAACCATAAGTCGAATATACTGTGGCAGATTACCGAATCTACTGGTTACTTTTACACGGAATAATTTGACTAGTACCAATGCAAATTGAAGTTGAAATTATATATTAGTGGTGTTTTACTGTCGAAGTCTAGTAGAGCTATCTACAACTCACCTGAAAGTCAAGCGTTTTCGGATTCGATATATGTACAGCTGGAATATCATCCAATGAGTAACGTAATTTGCAGCTGATATCCTCCCGAGAACACTGAAATGTAATATGTGAAAAAAAATAAAATCACATATATGCCATGTAAAACCTTGAAGACTGAATCGACAAGAAAGTATGTCTTCGATCACTTCGTTGACGATGAAAAAGGGAAAAAGTAGGTTTAATTTGAAGAAAATGCTTTCGACAAATCGACATCAGACTACGAACAGTTGAAAACTTTGAAGTATTGTACAGATGTCCGATTGGATTTCTTTGAGATCTACCTCAATGATACATTGAGAATCAGGGCTTTCAAGTCACACGGCGTGCACATCGCTTACTAATATAAGCAACTCATATTATATTATTATCATCCTATAATGTTATTGACAAGAATATACCATTTCATTGTTAAGTTGTGGTTCATAGGTCTAGACACACGACAGTAGACCATGGGTTTGAACGCCACTCCACTTACCAACTTATCACTAGTCCTGACACAATAGGCCTGACCCACTGTCTAATGCACGATCATACACATGGCTACTGAGTGGTGCTTCAAAAGTATACACCCTTAAAAAAATTTTTCTCTGAAGCAATTCACTTGTGAGTGCGGAAGATGGATTAACGGCTTCATTCGATTTGCAGTAAAAAAATGATTTTCAATTGACTAAAAATTGAAAACTTCTAAGTTACGCATTCGTATACTGAATCTTATACGCATGTCTTCAGATTTCTACCATTCTGACTGTGTAAATACTGATCGCGTACATGCTGGTTGTTTTCGATCGACATATCTACAGACTAACCATAGTGCGGAAATCGACAGAGTATAAGCAGAACAATGTTTTAGGTGGACTGCCTCCAGCAGTTGAATTTCTACTCTTCTGATAACTTTTATTTCTTCGTAATATAGAAAGAGTTTAGGAACAATTATACACAGCCGCATGCTTTACAGATTTAACAATGTTACAAGTCTGTGTAAATGTTTTTAAAGTATTTCTCCCCATCGAGATAAGTACATTTATTTAATGTTCCTTCTATTTTATCCACAACTGACCTTTTACCAAATATAATTACAACTTCAGGATGGCTTTAATAACGGAATAACATCAGTGGGAGGACTACTGTAAACCTATGAGCACTTTAATAACTATTCAGTCCTAAGCTCGAGGTTTCCTGATGATCCACACTTTAGTTGTATTGCGAGTAACCTGAGGATACATTTCCCAAAGTTCTAATGAAAAAGTGTAACCCGTGAAGTTGAGCATGAAGAAAGACGTTCACCAACAGCAGTAGAAAATGGCCATGTTATACCACGAATTGACAGAGGTAGGAACATGTGGACCACTGAAATCTAACCAAGTGGCTGAATAGTAATGTGCCCAGTAGGAGACCTGGTTCTGGGTACTCAATGCTGGTAATTCCCAAACCAGGACAAAATAACTGTCTAGTGCTCCCAGGCGGCCAACAATTTTCCAATCCATATAAATCTGTGATGAAAACTGCTTTGAAATTACTCGATCCCCTAAACCAGCCAGTTGAAAACAAGTATGACTCTACATCTTGAATAATAATATCTTGTAGAAGAAATTTTTTTTCTGCTAAGAAAACTTAGTTCTTCTTACTCATTAGCAATCTAAACAGCCTTATTTATTCTCTGACTAATGGGGAGAAATGTTGAATTTCAGTTAATTACTAACTCACCAAAGAGAAACTTAACGCTTCTGTGAATCCCATTTGAGCTATTTCAGCACGAACAAGATCAGACAAACGATTAAGGGGTTGATTGCCAGCTACACAATAGGTTTGAGGCAAACTTTCCGGTATATTATCGTAACCGAATGCAATAGCAACATCCTCGGCTATATCACAGGCATGCAAGATATCGTGTCTTGTAGGTGGCACACGTACAGAGATAAGACCAGATGTTTGTCCTATACATATAATCACACCAAAATAAAGAAAAATGATCAGAAAAATAGTAAATTGAGATAAATCACGGAAGTTTCTGGACATTTCTAATAGTGAAATGCACTATAACCAAAAATATCTCAAGCGTATACCGTAGGACTTTAGCCTTACTGCAAGAAATTTGCATACATCGAAAAACTAACCGAATATTTGGTAGTAACTGATACAACGCTATTTACCTCTAAGCTGTTCAAACAATAAATTTTCCATCATCACAACAGAGTACATGATTAAAAAGTGACAAAAAGGAACCCATTCAACCATACATAGTACAAGATTCTTATAAAGTACTATATCATTTATATTAAAATTCTTTTGTGTAGATTTAAAAGCATATAAGTCTTGTGAATGGATAACAAAGAACTACCTATACCACGAACAAACTAGGTGGCTTGACCTGATTAAGGGCGAGTACATTCCATTATCCACCTCCCCCAGAATGCACCCATACAACCATACGTATAAAACCTCCGTCAACTAACAGGAGTCATCAAGAAAATGGAAGTGTGAAATTGGTGTTTAAGACCAGTGAATAACGTGTAAACCATCAACAAGGGACAAAATCTATGACTGCCAAAAAGTGGTACACATAGGCACATGAATTGCAATACCAAAAGTTTCGCATGAACATGATGTTACAAACTACGCAAACATTGAATTTAAGGATAGGCACATAAAGTTACCTTCTAAGACAAACTCGTACTTTAGTCTAGCCTACCTTGAGCCTCCCTGCTTCTAACTCAATACCACGTTAGAAAAGATGTAGGCGAACAACATGCATCCAAGACCAGTATAGTCCCCTTCGCAAAACCTTAATATTCATACACCTTCATTACAGTGTACAGCTCCTATGCTTAGAAAACTCCTGTGTTCGCAAATCTGCGCCTTTTCGCATCGTCTACTTTGAACGGTCATGTCGGATAGCCGTGTAATGACACACTCTACGTCGAGGTAGTCGGTGTTTCGGCATGCGGAAGACATGTGCTAGCCACCTCAGTCGGTGATGTTTCACAACCTCATCTACTGAGTGGGTGACTTGCCTAGTATGATGGGCCTCTTTCTGAATTCTGTGGTGATGATGTAGTCTAGAATGACGAAGAAAGCTTGATGATTAAGCCATCCAGGTGAGAGAGGACAACAGCATGAAGATAGTGAGCTTTGGTTAATCTCGCTATTGCTGACATGGTGTATGCGACATGTGTGAGGTGTGCTAGGAGAAGACTTGTGTTGCGAGACCTGTCATGTTTTCACATTGTCTACTTTGAACGGCCATGTCGGAGAGCCGTATAACAGGACAGAGTGAAATGCAGCACAGTATCGTGATGCTTTACGATGTCAGGTATCTGGGTAGTCGGCGTGAGAGATGACGCCGTTTGGGAGATATGAAAGGGGCCTTGTGTATCCGAGGTGAGATGTGTTTGTCAGGCAAGACTAGCCCGTGCTGGCTGATGCAACTGGTGAATTAAGTGGTGTGTTCGGAGGCATTCGACGACTTGACTGATTATTATCATCGTTATGTGGGAGTGGGTAAAGCATGCGTAGTTGTGGAGCAGCATCGACAGCATCGACAGAAGCGAGATGTATGTCGAAGATACAGAAGTGTAGAAGCCGGTGGATTTTGTCATCGTCTTCGCTTAACAGGACATTGTTGTGTGCATACTGCAGGGGGATGAGGCACTGTGCATCGAGTATGTCAACCCCTGTAAGGTCTGAGGTACGGATGTAGGTTGATGTGGATTAGTATGAGTATGTGTGTGAGGTGGTTAAGGAGAAAGGGGGACGACGAGTAGGCCTCCGTGATGGACATGACGGATGGTGGTCCATTGAGAGAAGAACTCTCTTGAAGCAGTTTGCTTATTACACGTCTGTTTGTGTGATTCCGAGTAGAGAGCCAGCCTTGATTCGGATAATATAGTTGGTCGGTATTGGTGTTACAGTGATGATGATACACTGTGAGACACACTGTTGGCGGACAGAGTTGAATGCTGCCTTCAGTTGAGTTTATTTCAGATGATGTGATGTTATGAAATATGGGAATTGTCGTCCACCGGTAAGTATACTCGTGTTGTCACACGTGTGGAGGGTTGAAGATGATGGTGATGGATGTGTAGGAATGCGTGTTAGAATTCCGTAACGTTTGATCAACCCTACTTAATTTGATGTGCTCTAGTACCTGCTTAACCAGTACTTTACCTAACGTGTAAGTACTGGTAACAAAACACAAATCAAAAGAACTGATACGCAATGTATTTAAAGGAGCTATGTATTTAAGGTAAATGTAATAATAATGAATGAGGGAAAAGTTTAATCAACTTATCTGGCTTGTAAGGCTGAACTAGGGACTCGGAGTACGTGCGTGGTAATCAGCACAATGGAGCGCAAAAATGGCGTCCAAGCCTGCTCGGATGCATGCTCGTTAAAACAAAACTTAAAACACCCTAAGCATCCGGAGGCAAGCTAGAGATTTATTTAGTTAATTTAATTTAAACTATTTATTTTAGCCCTAGTTATATTTTGGTGCCAGGAAGGTGCACTACAGGTTATCCCCCTCCTAGAAGGTTGTTGGGATACCGGCAACCTTCGATCCTAGGAGGCGACTGCGAGGCGGACACGCAACACCTTTCCATATTGGTGATGGAGTAGGTGACGTGTGGGTCTCCGAAGCTAGTGCAACTATGCACACCTACGAGGTAAGATATCTTTGCGTCTAGACGCAACCCTTCTCGCAGTGGTGGAAGGTGACCCAAAGCCTCCGTCTACTTTTCCCTATTGCTTCTTAATCTACCGGGGAGTGTACAGGGGGAAATTGGTACAAAGAGAACCGAAGAACGATCCAAGTAGCATCGTCAGCGGCCAATTGTATCCAATTTTCAACGCATTTTCTAGGTTCTGCAAGAAGAAAGAAATGGGACATTAGAGTGCTAAGAAAAGGAAAACCAAACAATTCGAAGTGGGAGGAGTACAGAAAAAAAAATAATAACCAACCAAAAAAAGTTTTCGGAATTTAAATTGTATTTTTGGTTTTTTTTTTTTTGAAAAAAAAACTGTTTGCAAAGTAGTAAACAAGACTTGTGAAAACTTTAGGTATGAAAACGCATTGAAAGTGTATGCCACGACAAAGTAGTTGAAACTCCGAATTCACCAAGTGTGAAGTTGCTCTGGGGCTAATTAACGAACTCGGCGTATCGCTTGGGCCAATGTACACGCCTCCCAGCACGTGTAGAGGGTACTGGATCAGTGTTACTAGACGTGGCTCTTTTAGAAGGTTCAGGATACGCGCGACTAAACGAGTCTGTTTGGGAGTCCGGCGGCAAGGGTTTTTCTAGTTGTGTCGGTGTAGAGGAAGGCGGGTCGTCCTCTATATAAGCTGCCTTCAAACGATCGACACTTATAGAATCCTGCCGTCCAGATCTGTCAATGACGAAAAACTTTTCTTTCCTACTGAGAACCTTGAAGGGTCCGTCGTATGGTGGCTGTAAGGGCTTACGTACACCGTCACAACGCACAAAGACGTGAGTGCAATCTTGGAGTCTTTTATCCAGCTGCACCCGTCTACACTGTATCCGTGTGGATGAGGGTTGGAGGCGACGCATGTGTAACTTAAGAGTTTGAGCATAGCCATGGATATCGGTAGGAGTTGGGTCACTGCAGTCTGAAGCGACCATCTCACCCGGCAAACGTAAGTTACTACCGTAAACTAACTCAGCAGGTGTACACTGTATATCAGTCTTGAGTGTAGAACGGATGCTGAGAAGAACCAACGGCAGAGACTCAGTCCATTTCATATTGTCGACTGCCATTAGTGCGCTCTTAAGGTGTCGGTGGAATCGCTCGACCAAACCATTGGAAGCTGGATGATATGCGGTAGTGCGGATGCGTTTGCATCCCAACAGATTCATCAGCTTCTGGAAGGTAGCGGATTCGAACTGTTGGCCTCTGTCGGTTGTCACGGTGGAAGGGCATCCAAACTGTGAAACCCATCCTTCGACGAAAACCCGACTTACTGTTTCGGCAGTAATGTTAGACAGTGGGATGGCTAACGGCCAGCGAGTAAACCTATCGACACATGTCAGTAGGTAACTATATCCATTGGAGGGTGGAAGTGGGCCGACAATGTCTAAGTGGACATGAGCGAATCGTGAGTCAGGTTTGGCGAAAGTTCCAAGTGGTGGGATGTTGTGACGATTCACCTTGGAACGTTGGCACTGAATACATGACCGTGTCCAGTTTCGAACATCACGGTTAATACCAGGCCAAACAAACCTAGCAGATATGAGCTTGTCAGTGGCGCGGATGCCAGGATGTGAAAGATTGTGCAAAGCATCAAAAACATGCTTACGCAAGGATAAAGGAACAACCGGTCTGGGTGTGCCTGTGGAGGTGTCGCACAATATTGACACTTCACTGTTCAGGAGCGGTAACGCTGTATCTTCAGAGAGGATGAGTGTTGAAGTTTTTCAATCTCCTCGTCTGAATCCTGAAGTTCGGCAATCTTCCGTAAGTCGACTGCTCGAGGCAAAGTAGTGGTGCAAACGCGAGACAGTGCGTCCGCGACAGGGTTATTCGCACCAGAAATATGACGGATGTCCGACGTGAATTGCGAAATATAATCTAGGTGACGTAATTCACGCGGTGAATATCTGTCAGTAGTGGTGTGTAAGGCATACGTCAGAGGTTTATGGTCGGTAAAGATGATGAAGTCACGACCTTCCACAAAATGACGAAAATGTTTCACTGAGGCATATATGGCGAGCAGTTCCCTGCCGAAAGTGCTGTACCGCATTTCGCAGGTGGATAACTTCCGGGAGAAGAATGCAACTGGGATCCAAGTGTGATCCGAAAGTTGTTGCAACACAGCTCCAATGGCCGTGTTAGAGGCGTCAACCGCAATGCTAAGAGGTAGGTTTACGTCTTGATGCACCAGCATCGTGGCGTCTGCTATTGCGGTTTTGATCTTGCGAAATGCTTCTAGTGCCTCAGGAGTCAAGCTGAAAGTTTTACATTTACTTTTCAGCAGGTCGGTCAGTGCAGTCAAAATGTGTGCACATTGGGGAATGAAGCGACGATAATAGCTCACCATACCCAGAAACACACGCAGAGCTTTAAGTGACGCTGGGACTGGGAAGTCTTGGATCGCCTGTACCTTTTCAGGTAGTGGGCGAATGCCTTGCTCGTCGATAACGTGTCCCAAAAATTTTAGTGAACGAACGCCAATTGGCATTTGGCCAGGTTGACTGTCATCGAATGCTCTGACAGTCTGGCGAAAACCTGTTTCAAGTGGTTAAAATGGGTGTCTTCGTCAGGACTAGCGATTAGTATATCGTCTAGGTAGGCATAGGCGAAATCGAGTCCACGTAAAACATCGTGAATAAAACGTTGGAAGGTTTGTGCTGCATTGCGAAGACCAAAAGGCATACGGAGGAACTCAAAAAGACCAAACGGTGTAATGACGGCTGTCTTGGGAACATCATCAGGATGAACCGGGATCTGATGATATGCACGCGTCAAGTCAAGCTTACTGAAGATAACCGAGCCTTTTAAAGATGCAGTCAAGTCGTGAATGTGAGGGACTGGGTAACGATCTGGAATCGTTTTAGCGTTGAGCCTTCGGTAGTCACCACAAGGCCTCCAGTCCATGCCATTGTTCTTGGGTACCACATGCAAGGGTGAAGACCATGGACTGTTGGATGGTCTGATTATTCCCATTTCAAGCATGTGTTCGAACTCGGCTTTTACAGCACGCAGTTTCTCCGGGGATAATCGCCGTGGTTTCGCAAACACTGGCGGGCCAGTCGTCGTTATGTGATGAGAAACGTTCGAAGTCACACAAGGGACACAACGACTTGGCTTAAAGACATCCGGAAAGGACTGAATGATAGACGCGTAGGGACTAGAAGCGTCCGTCGTGCAGTACACGGGACTGAGGGGCGGCGTCTTTGTGACTATACCGGAAACAGAGAGTGTTGTGGTAGAATCTATCAACTTATGCTTGCCAGCATCTACCAGCAGCTGATAGTGCTGCAAGAGATCCATACCAATAATGCCGGTGGTCACATCTGCCACTATGAAAACCCAACGAAAGGGACGACGCAATCCAAGGTTGAGATCGAGGAATCTCCGACCATAGGTTGTGATGGGCGAACCGTTGGCGGCACGAAGTTGCAGAGACATTGGCCGCAGACGCTCTTCCTTCGTAGGTGGGATGACGCTAGCTTCTGCCCCAGTGTCAACTAGGAAGCGTATCCCAGAATGTCGATCAGTGACGAAGAAGAGGCGACATGGAAGTGGCTCGCCAGCGACGTTAGTCGCCGTCACGTGCTGGCTCACACGTTTCCCGCCTGGTTAGCCTCGAAGGTGCAAGGTCGAGTGCACTTTTTGGCATTGGCACCATAACGTTTATGGTACCAGCACAACCTGGGTTGGGATTGTCGCGATTTGGAACGTCTGCTACCGGTACGGGAGGCAGACCTGTTGCGCGAGCGAGACGTGCGACCGTTTGAAGCACTACCAGACCGCATTTCGTTCCTGATGCTGCACAACTCTCATACAATTTTGAGATGTGAGCTATAACATCGAAACTTGTTGGCTCAACAGCCGAGGGAGGATGTGGGTTTTTGAACGAATCCGTGGCAGTAGACAGTGCAGCTGAGATACTAGTGTTGGGTTTCGTAGCATCCACAGCTCTGTCAGCCGCTTCCGCCAACTCTATTAAGGGACACTTATGGAAGGGTGCGAGGATCCCTTGAACCGACTGTGGTAACCTCTGTAACCACAGTTGCTTGAGAAATGCTTCATCAATGTTGAAGTCAGCAATCAGCTGCTTCATCTGACGAAGCAGTTGCGTCGGCTTGCGATCACCCAGATGCACATCCCTGAAAAGTTCTTGCACTTTCTGCTGGTCAGTAAGTGCAACACGTTTGATGAGGGCGGTTTTGAGGCGATCGTAAAGATTCGGTGCTGGGTCATCTAGCACATCTGAGACGTCTTCGATCACATTTTCCGGTAAGCTGACGATGACTAAGTTGGACTTAGTTTCTTGTGATTGAATGTGTCTCAAGGCAAACTGAGCTTCCACATGGGAGAACCATGCAGATGGTCTGTGGGCCCAGAAGGTGGGAAGCTGGAGGGTTATGGCCATCTGCGCAGTCGAGTCGTTATCCGCCATTGATCAGGGAATTAACGAGGCACGATAGTGATGATAAAAAAAAATTACAATGCAAAAATAACCAATGAGGAGTGCAATAATATAAAAAAACGCTAGACGTGCCAAAAACAAAATAGGCCAGACAAATCAACGCAAGAGAACAAAGGTACTAGACAAAGTAAGAAGTGATACTCGGGCTCACCAATTTTGTAGGGATGCGTGTTACAATTCCGTAACGTTTGATCAACCCTACTTAATTTGATGTGCTCTAGTACCTGCTTAACCAGTACTTTACCTAACGTGTAAGTACTGGTAACAAAACACAAATCAAAAGAACTGATACGCAATGTATTTAAAGGAGCTATGTATTTAAGGTAAATGTAATAATAATGAATGAGGGAAAAGTTTAATCAACTTATCTGGCTTGTAAGGCTGAACTAGGGACTCGGAGTACGTGCGTGGTAATCAGCACAATGGAGCGCAAAAATGGCGTCCAAGCCTGCTCGGATGCATGCTCGTTAAAACAAAACTTAAAACACCCTAAGCATCCGGAGGCAAGCTAGAGATTTATTTAGTTAATTTAATTTAAACTATTTATTTTAGCCCTAGTTATATTTTGGTGCCAGGAAGGTGCACTACAGATGGACCGTGGAGCCAGTAGGTCTGAAGGTGAGTGGTTTTGTAGAGTTCGGTGTTGCCGATCGTCACTATTTGTTGGATAACTGTGCACCTTTCTGAATTTTGTGGTGATGATGTAGTCTAGAATGACGAAGAAAGCTTGATGATTAAGCCATCCAGGTGAGAGAGGACAACAGCATGAAGATAGTGAGCTTTGGTTAATCTCGCTATTGCTGACATGGTGTATGCGACATGTGTGAGGTGTGCTAGGAGAAGACTTGTGTTGCGAGACCTGTCATGTTTTCACATTGTCTACTTTGAACGGCCATGTCGGAGAGCCGTATAACAGGACAGAGTGAAATGCAGCACAGTATCGTGATGCTTTACGATGTCAGGTATCTGGGTAGTCGGCGTGAGAGATGACGCCGTTTGGGAGATATGAAAGGGGCCTTGTGTATCCGAGGTGAGATGTGTTTGTCAGGCAAGACTAGCCCGTGCTGGCTGATGCAACTGGTGAATTAAGTGGTGTGTTCGGAGGCATTCGACGACTTGACTGATTATTATCATCGTTATGTGGGAGTGGGTAAAGCATGCGTAGTTGTGGAGCAGCATCGACAGAAGCGAGATGTATGTCGAAGATACAGATGTGTAGAAGCCGGTGGATTTTGTCATCGTCTTCGCTTAACAGGACATTGTTGTGTGCATACTGCAGGGGGATGAGGCACTGTGCATCGAGTATGTCAACCCCTGTAAGGTCTGAGGTACGGATGTAGGTTGATGTGGATTAGTATGAGTATGTGTGTGAGGTGGTTAAGGAGAAAGGGGGACGACGAGTAGGCCTCCGTGATGGACATGACGGATGGTGGTCCATTGAGAGAAGAACTCTCTTGAAGCAGTTTGCTTATTACACGTCTGTTTGTGTGATTCCGAGTAGAGAGCCAGCCTTGATTCGGATAATATAGTTGGTCGGTATTGGTGTTACAGTGATGATGATACACTGTGAGACACACTGTTGGCGGACAGAGTTGAATGCTGCCTTCAGTTGAGTTTATTTCAGATGATGTGATGTTATGAAATATGGGAATTGTCGTCCACCGGTAAGTATACTTGTGTTGTCACACGTGTGGAGGGTTGAAGATGATGGTGATGGATGGACCGTGGAGCCAGTAGGTCTGAAGGTGAGTGGTTTTGTAGAGTTCGGTGTTGCCGATCGTCACTATTTGTTGGATAACTGTGCACCATAGCTTCTTGAAGAGGTTGTTGATTGAGGAAGTAACTGGCCGAGTGATTAATTGGCACACCGAGTGCCTAGCATGCCTTCAATTCTACGAAATTCAAGATAGAGTGTGTGAGAGAAGTGTAGTGGTTCACGTTGTGACACACCTGACAAGAGCATGTGAAGAACAAGTGAGTAGAGAGGGAGTGATATGAAAGTAGGTGGATGCGAAGAAAATGAATTAGCAAGATGAAGGTGAGTTATTGGGAATGTTGAATTTGTCGATGATTGAATGAATACATGTGCACCGGTGTTATTTATATATTGAGGCATGTGAACAACGGTCTGGAGGTATTGATTCGTATTGTCTGGAGGACAAGCATCAAGCAAGCAGTCTAGTGGACAGAGACCAAGAGTCAGAGAGAGACTTGATGGACTGGTGCCACCCAGATCTTGGTGTGGCCACCGTGAGCCTTCCTTCTTCCAAGTCAATCATACATTGTACGTGGAGGTAGTCGGTGTTTCGGCATGCGGAAGACATGTGCTAGCCACCTCAGTTGGTGATGTTTCACAACCTCATCTACTGAGTGGGTGACTTGCCTAGTATGATGGGCCTCTTTCTGAATTCTGTGGTGATGATGTAGTCTAGAATGACGAAGAAAGCTTGATGATTAAGCCATCCAGGTGAGAGAGGACAACAGCATGAAGATAGTGAGCTTTGGTTAAGCTCGTAATTACTCGTATGATTTATGCGGTTTGCTGGATAAATTATTTGTTATCGAACGGGAGGTTTGTGGTTGTTTTCTTAGGATATTTCCGGTATAGTATTTGAGGAATGACGTTATTTAGAAACAGGTGGAATTTGCATTTTTTGATTGGTATATGTTAATTCTCTTGTTTTTTCATCATGTCATTGGGAGATATTTTGGAAAAAGTGCACTGCGTTTGTGAGACTTCAACGAGTTAGGTTGTTTATAGAAGTGTTTGGAATGTGTACCCTGTGTATTGTGTGCATGAGTTGAAGGATGGAGTCTATGGGGAAACTATTGCTCGAATGTGGGCATGGATTCCGTTTCTGGAGAGGGTTGAAATTGTGAACCTGTTTTATTCGAGTTAAAGGCATTGACGAATGCGTGAGAACTACGTATAATGATGTAGTAGGTATATACTCAGAGCAGCTCCTTGCTTCAAGATCTTATGGAAATCGGTTGGTTGGTATCCTTTGCTTATTTTAGTGAATTGAGGTTGCTAATTACAATAATATAAGCTTTCAATTTTTTATTCGAGAAAATACTGGCTCGATAGACAGAAAATTGTACATCAGAGAAAAGCTTCAAGATCTAAATCCAACGCTGAGCAAGGCAGTGATAATTCGAAATTCTTCAAGACTTCAGGGTGTAGTATCCCAACTCGCCCAATAATTCTGTCACCGGGCTCTAGGATGACATCAGCACAACGACCATCAAAATAGGTTGGATCTAAAAAATGAAATTATGCATTGATATTTGATTAGAAAATTCTACTACAAGATACCTGTGAAATTACTCACCGAGAAAAGTGACAATTTAAAATCAATTGGAATTCTGAATACTACACCACTTCTCTGAAGGTATCAGTTAGCATTTGGGTGATTCGAAAGATTTAGTGATTTCAGCTAGATAAATCGATACACACTTCTGAGAAGCGAAACGACATTTCAGTGCTCAAATCCTCTCGATCTGGGTTAGTGAGTAACAATGATCAGCGTGGATGGTCTGCACTTGCATGTGCCAATTTGTTGCATCTAGCGTACAAGTGATAATCAGACTGAACGAAAAACGTTTAATTCTTAACATATAGATTTTAAAAAATGTAGTGATAATCAGTCATAGGAACGGAAGCAACAACTTAAGAGTAGAGTAAGTTTCTGTAGTAAATTTTTGGGAAAATTTAAAGCAAGTTATTGCCCATTCGGTTTCAAATGTGCAATAACAGTAATGATAAATAAGATGTTGTAGCTTACATGGCTCTAGCAGTGGGATTTGGAACTCATCATTTAGATGTACCTTCACCCCGGTGAGGAATGGAAATAACAAGTATCAATACACAATAACTGATACTCGATACAGAAGAGGTGGTTATCGTGTCCCACTAGCCCATTGGACAACACTTTGGCTTTTGAAGCGATGGGTATTGGGTTCGAGTCTCAGTGAATACACTGGGTGATGATTGAAGGTGAAATGAAAATTCGGATCGCGGCTAGATTGGAGCCAGCGACCACCGGGTTTTCGGCACGCTGCTCGTAGCTCAGTCAGTAGAGCAACGGACCGGAAACCCAGTGGCCGCTGGTTCGAATTCGGCCGCGGTCCAAATCTTCATTTCACTTTCAATCATCACCCAGTATTTAAAATTTGTTTATCGACTTACTTCGTCCTTCATTATTACGTAGGTTTTATTTTTGCAAGCTTTTTACCCTCTTTGATTATCAAAGTATCTATATTTTCATGATGTTTCTTTGGTTCTCTTCATTATTATCATGTATATTACAGCTGCTTTAGTCAACACTGTCATTATGACTGACAACTTTTTCCTATTGTCATGGTTAGGAAAGGGACAAGTTTACGATTGTACAGCGTTTAGAGAATGAAATCGCCGGAAAGTAGACTCTTCGCTGAAGCACTATCATCAAGAACAGAATCGAAAACTGTTTCTTAAGGTACATCGTATAAGGTGTAGTTTTACTTGTGTAATCTTGGAGTAGTATATTAAAACAAATAAACCAATATTTTGTATTATTCCTCAACGTTCCGATCTTGCTAGGAAGTTTGTTTTCAAAAGTATGAATCTGACATTAAGTTTCCAGGTTAATATTCAAGTTTTGGTACAGATATGGAGTAAAGATCAATGTAATACAGGTAAGTGAATAAGCAAATCAGTCAGAGAGGCTTTTTTCAGCTGTGTGGGTAACGTTGGGGAGTAATACAAAATACTTGTTTTTGTAATTTGTTCTAATATACTACGCCGGGATTACACAAGTAAAACTACACCTTATACGATGAATCATACTAACTCGGTGCCCAGGTTTTTCAAATCATCCACTCCATTGTTGGTCGGGATACCCTCAAACTTGTTTCTTAAGGCAGTTAGAAATTAAGTATTAATATCTTAACAGTAAGATCATGCTAAAAGAAGAGATGAGGGGTACTTCTCTTTTGGATATAAAGAGTCCTAGTAACTTCTGCTGTGAAGAACACAGACTCGAATAGCATTAGTAAGACAAGATTCATATCATCCTACGACTAAGACCAATAAATTCTGCTTGAAAAGTCATCAGTATGTAATAGTTACATATCAATAAAAGAATTATAGTGGAAATATTAGATCCAGTCTAGTAAATGACTTCAAATTTGTTGTTTATAACAGATACATAACTCTTTACCACGATAAACTTGTCCCAGTGGCTGGTTTTAAAAAACACCTAAACTGTGATAATGTATAAGTGTTCATATATCGTCTAGAACATACTGAGCGGACACTAACTCTCTCTCTCCCGTCCACCACCTGCATTTTTAAACCCTACGCAATGAACCATTTATGTTGCTTGTGAGAATTTATGATAGATACTACCCGGTTGTCTGACACCTTGACCCTAGATTCTTTTGCTAGCCACAACCAAGTAAATTATCTTGACCCACTTAGTTCAAAGTCAACTGTCCAGACCAATGAACCACACACCTCTACGCATGTTAAACACACAACTCAATCGGCGAATTTGAAATACATATAGCCTTTCTCAAGCCAGCAGTCTTAAATTTAGTAGGTGTATCGAGATTGACTGTGAGCTTTGCAAGTTCGAGAGCATTCTAAACCACAGTTGCATGACGCATTACGAAACTCATCACGCAGATATAATAGTAAAACTAAACTCACCTGAAGTAGCTTTCAATTTATAAGTCATACATGACTGGATTTCAACATCGCCAGACTTTTTCCCAGCTTTAAACAAAACTGATTCAACCTGGAATAATTGCATCAACCTGTCTAACAGACCATGAATAATTTCAAAACCAGAATTCTTATTATAGTGGACAGCGCAAATACGGCGGTGATTAGAAGCGCCAACATCTGAATAGTAAAATGAATGCAGTAAATAAACATTGAACACACTTTGAAGTATGAGAGTACGGTTAACACACATAGTATGCACAAACAACGGCAGTCCTATTATACCAACGTCCTACTATATAAAGCGCGGTTCAAACTTTAGAAAGTAAATTTGCTGTAGCAGACAAAACAGAGGCCTTAGATACTTTCTCACAGAAATCACATCATAAGGTCAGTTACATCGGTTACCTTCTGCTGTGTACATATTACAGTCCTAGAGGAAATAAATCATCGCTTCACTATCTTGTTAATAAATTCTCCAATTTCTGCACTGCATGATATCAGTTCATGTCATCGAGGAAAAGCCAATTCCCTCATGGTCGGCATTGATCTGCCTTGTTCATAAATGCCAACAAGTAAGAAACCTAGCTGGGATTTCTAACCGATTTACTCCTAACATTTGGCACCAAGGTAATAGCTTTTCTAAGATATATGTAATAGGAAGTGAATGAACTGAAAACTAACAATTCAGATTATCAGTTGCTGCATCTTACAATTGATCAAATGTCAGAAAGACAGTAAAAAATATGGTTTGTCGTAAGAATCTCAGTTAACTCACCTTTCGATGGGTTTTTGACCACAATATCCTGAACTTCAAATAATTTCAAGGGAAGCGGTAAACTTCTATTACTGGCTAAAGTGTGCAGAATTCCTGGTAGTAAGCTTGTTCGAACCACCTATTAATAAGCATAAACAAAGGCAAGTGTGAAAAATGTAATGTCGACGACTGAACAAATATCTGAGAGAATGCGTAAAGTGTGTGCAAGAAAATACGGCGATATAAGTTGGCAAACCATTACAATCCAGTGTGTCAGTCAGTGGCATCGTTGTACTACACTTGCTGACGGAAGATTAAAATACAAGGCAACGCGATGAAAAATAGAGAAATGAAGAAGAAACCAATCAAACGTGGCAGAAAGTACGGCAAACAACGTGTTGTGATGTGATGAAGATACTGTACAAATGCATGTATACCACTAAAATCAATTCTGAGACATATCACCTAGATTATTCAGCCAGCCAATTCTCACGTCACACAGATTCCAACCAAGAGATTTGCATTTCCATGCACAGCTTAAGCCAGCCATCATAAACTTCATGAAGTGATGCAACGTTTGAATTAGACAGCTTTTAAAAATATTTTTAACCTACAGTCAATTCAGCTCATATCACATGATACGGTAGACGATGACTAGGTGTGATAACACATGTCCCAGCTATCTGAGTTGATGAGGGTTCACAACCTCATCAACTGACTTGCCTACAACTTTACACAAAACGTCAAAACCGTTATCTTGATGGTACCACGACACATAAATCATAATTCAATATCTCACAGACCTAGACCCATGTATTTTACAGTCATCTAAACAACTCAGAACAAGATTAAATAAATGCATACATTGAGGTCTAGTTTCACTGTGACAATGAAACATTTTCACGCTGTTTGCACAAACAAACATAAATCAACATAAAACATGGTGTAAGAGTGAATCAATTTCAAATGCCAAACCTCACAACAATTCAAAAAGAAATGGATACTGAAATAAACAATTAGAATATAAGTGAAAGGCGAAAAGAGGCTGTGAATCAATGATTCAGGCAGTTGGTTTGTAACCGGTAAGCTACGGGTTCGAACATGCTACCAGCTGAGGACTGGACAGCCAAGTAGTATCATTAGCCTTCACACAAAAGCTGCGGTCTGTCGCTTACTCCAGGAATGTACACAAGGTTGCTGAGCATGCTTTGCTTTTATTCGTTCGAAGAAGGAAATAAATAGAAACATTGTATACTCAGTATTTGCCTTCTGCAGATAGCAGTGTTGTGAATGCAGTATTCATTATGGGCATTGGTTCGTTGTTACGCAACAGTACTCCGGACTAATCCTCAACCTACATGTTCCTAGGAAGAACACCTACGACCCGCTCTCTTCTACTATAAGACTGTGAAACACGCCCACTAAAGGCTTTAGGTGCTCGACGAACCTTTTTTTCATGGCATGAGCTGTGTCGTGCTGTCACCACCTCAGTTGTTTAGAAGTCAAGTGTGTGGTTTTAGGAAGAACAGGAATGCCACTTGATGGGATTGTGATTCTTCATCGACTCAGGTGGCTGGGATGTGTTACGTATGCCTAGTTACCATCTGTCACGTAGCTTGGTGTTAGCTATAGTAGGGTCAGGCTTTAAAAAGATCAGGAGCAGTTAGCCTAAAACGTGGCATCAGTGCATTAAGTTCTTGACAGTTGGTATGAGCCAAGTAGGGAGAGGCTGATTAGCCGGTTAGGGTCCACATGAAAACATAAACCAGTAGTGGCAGAATACGTGATACGGTTCAGCATCGATGTCATCTTAACCGCTATACTGAATTCAGCATTTTCTCATTCATCCTTACTCTCCTTTACTGCTTTTGACCGATTTTTCACTCATTCTTTCTTTCTTCATCTTACTACTTTGCTACTTGTTGTAGTGATTTGAGGCGTGACAGCTTGGATTAACAGATAAGTCCAGTCAATCAGCAGGCAGTGGAAAAGCAGAAGCGTTACACGTAAACAAATCCAGAGAAATTTTCAATCGAAGAGGACTGAGTAGACGATTAATGCAGGTTGCATTACAAATATAGTTTGTTAGGGGGCGGGCGTGAAGATTAACGTAAAAGAGATAAACAAGCATTACACATCACCACCAGTATTGTATACTTCCTGAACATTTTTTTGAACATAGCATTCATGTAACCTATTGATCGACAGGATTGAATGTTACTTCCACGTAAGATGAAATAGTAGCTAGCGTCGAGTGCCGGTAAGTGCGGTGTGAATGCGATCATCGTTAGCGTGATAAGATATCAACTGGTATTTTTATTTGTCAAACTTTATCACAATGTTCCAGTGAAGTTTAGTGTCAGGACAGATATGAATGACTATGATAAAACTTCGCGAAATCAGCACCTAACGACTTAAGGTCAAGAAAAAAATTTAGGAGTTATATGTTGAAAAGATAATTGGTAGTCTCTAATACTACTAAGAAATATCACTATTTCCTAAACATTGGACTCGCAAATGCCAGAAAGTTAAATATTTTCATTCAGGCTGATGGGAAATTTGAACTTCTATAAGATCTGGGCCACAAAAACACCCGAAGCGGTAACTCATGGGTTTAGATGCTCGATTTCGAACCCACGGCTCATAAGTTCGAACTCTGCTCCTCCTACCAAGGTCTGGGCATCCATGTAGTATTTGTCCTCATACGACAGGTGAGGCTCGTCGCCTAATGCATTAAAATTTTCTCCATAAACTATCTCCCTGAATGGTTGATCCGCAAGATCACCTAACCATGACCGACATCGACTCACATGACCCTCTACCCTAATCATCAGCAGCTTGCAGTGAAACTAAACGTGTTCAGTTCTCTCTTATTTTGCTTTTTTCAATTGCTAGTGGTTAGTTTGGGAGATCACATTTAAGTACCTGGAGATCGTTTTCTTGTATATATATCCGAGTATAACGTAGCATGTCGCTCACAAGTTCGAATCATATCAGACTGAAAGTGGGGTGTAGTAATGTAACTGACTTGTCAACGTAAAACCAATGACAGAGCTCCTGATACATTAGTTCATAAGTGAAATCGTTTTCAAATAATCTGAATAAAAATTCGTCACATTCTTACTTCCACCACAATGTGCACTGAAACTAAAGGTATATAAAGTTCTTAAAAGATGCCAAAACCATAAGTCGAATATACTGTGGCAGATTACCGAATCTACTGGTTACTTTTACACGGAATAATTTGACTAGTACCAATGCAAATTGAAGTTGAAATTATATATTAGTGGTGTTTTACTGTCGAAGTCTAGTAGAGCTATCTACAACTCACCTGAAAGTCAAGCGTTTTCGGATTCGATATATGTACAGCTGGAATATCATCCAATGAGTAACGTAATTTGCAGCTGATATCCTCCCGAGAACACTGAAATGTAATATGTGAAAAAAAATAAAATCACATATATGCCATGTAAAACCTTGAAGACTGAATCGACAAGAAAGTATGTCTTCGATCACTTCGTTGACGATGAAAAAGGGAAAAAGTAGGTTTAATTTGAAGAAAATGCTTTCGACAAATCGACATCAGACTACGAACAGTTGAAAACTTTGAAGTATTGTACAGATGTCCGATTGGATTTCTTTGAGATCTACCTCAATGATACATTGAGAATCAGGGCTTTCAAGTCACACGGCGTGCACATCGCTTACTAATATAAGCAACTCATATTATATTATTATCATCCTATAATGTTATTGACAAGAATATACCATTTCATTGTTAAGTTGTGGTTCATAGGTCTAGACACACGACAGTAGACCATGGGTTTGAACGCCACTCCACTTACCAACTTATCACTAGTCCTGACACAATAGGCCTGACCCACTGTCTAATGCACGATCATACACATGGCTACTGAGTGGTGCTTCAAAAGTATACACCCTTAAAAAAATTTTTCTCTGAAGCAATTCACTTGTGAGTGCGGAAGATGGATTAACGGCTTCATTCGATTTGCAGTAAAAAAATGATTTTCAATTGACTAAAAATTGAAAACTTCTAAGTTACGCATTCGTATACTGAATCTTATACGCATGTCTTCAGATTTCTACCATTCTGACTGTGTAAATACTGATCGCGTACATGCTGGTTGTTTTCGATCGACATATCTACAGACTAACCATAGTGCGGAAATCGACAGAGTATAAGCAGAACAATGTTTTAGGTGGACTGCCTCCAGCAGTTGAATTTCTACTCTTCTGATAACTTTTATTTCTTCGTAATATAGAAAGAGTTTAGGAACAATTATACACAGCCGCATGCTTTACAGATTTAACAATGTTACAAGTCTGTGTAAATGTTTTTAAAGTATTTCTCCCCATCGAGATAAGTACATTTATTTAATGTTCCTTCTATTTTATCCACAACTGACCTTTTACCAAATATAATTACAACTTCAGGATGGCTTTAATAACGGAATAACATCAGTGGGAGGACTACTGTAAACCTATGAGCACTTTAATAACTATTCAGTCCTAAGCTCGAGGTTTCCTGATGATCCACACTTTAGTTGTATTGCGAGTAACCTGAGGATACATTTCCCAAAGTTCTAATGAAAAAGTGTAACCCGTGAAGTTGAGCATGAAGAAAGACGTTCACCAACAGCAGTAGAAAATGGCCATGTTATACCACGAATTGACAGAGGTAGGAACATGTGGACCACTGAAATCTAACCAAGTGGCTGAATAGTAATGTGCCCAGTAGGAGACCTGGTTCTGGGTACTCAATGCTGGTAATTCCCAAACCAGGACAAAATAACTGTCTAGTGCTCCCAGGCGGCCAACAATTTTCCAATCCATATAAATCTGTGATGAAAACTGCTTTGAAATTACTCGATCCCCTAAACCAGCCAGTTGAAAACAAGTATGACTCTACATCTTGAATAATAATATCTTGTAGAAGAAATTTTTTTTCTGCTAAGAAAACTTAGTTCTTCTTACTCATTAGCAATCTAAACAGCCTTATTTATTCTCTGACTAATGGGGAGAAATGTTGAATTTCAGTTAATTACTAACTCACCAAAGAGAAACTTAACGCTTCTGTGAATCCCATTTGAGCTATTTCAGCACGAACAAGATCAGACAAACGATTAAGGGGTTGATTGCCAGCTACACAATAGGTTTGAGGCAAACTTTCCGGTATATTATCGTAACCGAATGCAATAGCAACATCCTCGGCTATATCACAGGCATGCAAGATATCGTGTCTTGTAGGTGGCACACGTACAGAGATAAGACCAGATGTTTGTCCTATACATATAATCACACCAAAATAAAGAAAAATGATCAGAAAAATAGTAAATTGAGATAAATCACGGAAGTTTCTGGACATTTCTAATAGTGAAATGCACTATAACCAAAAATATCTCAAGCGTATACCGTAGGACTTTAGCCTTACTGCAAGAAATTTGCATACATCGAAAAACTAACCGAATATTTGGTAGTAACTGATACAACGCTATTTACCTCTAAGCTGTTCAAACAATAAATTTTCCATCATCACAACAGAGTACATGATTAAAAAGTGACAAAAAGGAACCCATTCAACCATACATAGTACAAGATTCTTATAAAGTACTATATCATTTATATTAAAATTCTTTTGTGTAGATTTAAAAGCATATAAGTCTTGTGAATGGATAACAAAGAACTACCTATACCACGAACAAACTAGGTGGCTTGACCTGATTAAGGGCGAGTACATTCCATTATCCACCTCCCCCAGAATGCACCCATACAACCATACGTATAAAACCTCCGTCAACTAACAGGAGTCATCAAGAAAATGGAAGTGTGAAATTGGTGTTTAAGACCAGTGAATAACGTGTAAACCATCAACAAGGGACAAAATCTATGACTGCCAAAAAGTGGTACACATAGGCACATGAATTGCAATACCAAAAGTTTCGCATGAACATGATGTTACAAACTACGCAAACATTGAATTTAAGGATAGGCACATAAAGTTACCTTCTAAGACAAACTCGTACTTTAGTCTAGCCTACCTTGAGCCTCCCTGCTTCTAACTCAATACCACGTTAGAAAAGATGTAGGCGAACAACATGCATCCAAGACCAGTATAGTCCCCTTCGCAAAACCTTAATATTCATACACCTTCATTACAGTGTACAGCTCCTATGCTTAGAAAACTCCTGTGTTCGCAAATCTGCGCCTTTTCGCATCGTCTACTTTGAACGGTCATGTCGGATAGCCGTGTAATGACACACTCTACGTCGAGGTAGTCGGTGTTTCGGCATGCGGAAGACATGTGCTAGCCACCTCAGTCGGTGATGTTTCACAACCTCATCTACTGAGTGGGTGACTTGCCTAGTATGATGGGCCTCTTTCTGAATTCTGTGGTGATGATGTAGTCTAGAATGACGAAGAAAGCTTGATGATTAAGCCATCCAGGTGAGAGAGGACAACAGCATGAAGATAGTGAGCTTTGGTTAATCTCGCTATTGCTGACATGGTGTATGCGACATGTGTGAGGTGTGCTAGGAGAAGACTTGTGTTGCGAGACCTGTCATGTTTTCACATTGTCTACTTTGAACGGCCATGTCGGAGAGCCGTATAACAGGACAGAGTGAAATGCAGCACAGTATCGTGATGCTTTACGATGTCAGGTATCTGGGTAGTCGGCGTGAGAGATGACGCCGTTTGGGAGATATGAAAGGGGCCTTGTGTATCCGAGGTGAGATGTGTTTGTCAGGCAAGACTAGCCCGTGCTGGCTGATGCAACTGGTGAATTAAGTGGTGTGTTCGGAGGCATTCGACGACTTGACTGATTATTATCATCGTTATGTGGGAGTGGGTAAAGCATGCGTAGTTGTGGAGCAGCATCGACAGCATCGACAGAAGCGAGATGTATGTCGAAGATACAGAAGTGTAGAAGCCGGTGGATTTTGTCATCGTCTTCGCTTAACAGGACATTGTTGTGTGCATACTGCAGGGGGATGAGGCACTGTGCATCGAGTATGTCAACCCCTGTAAGGTCTGAGGTACGGATGTAGGTTGATGTGGATTAGTATGAGTGTGTGAGGTGGTTAAGGAGAAAGGGGGACGACGAGTAGGCCTCCGTGATGGACATGACGGATGGTGGTCCATTGAGAGAAGAACTCTCTTGAAGCAGTTTGCTTATTACACGTCTGTTTGTGTGATTCCGAGTAGAGAGCCAGCCTTGATTCGGATAATATAGTTGGTCGGTATTGGTGTTACAGTGATGATGATACACTGTGAGACACACTGTTGGCGGACAGAGTTGAATGCTGCCTTCAGTTGAGTTTATTTCAGATGATGTGATGTTATGAAATATGGGAATTGTCGTCCACCGGTAAGTATACTTGTGTTGTCACACGTGTGGAGGGTTGAAGATGATGGTGATGGATGGACCGTGGAGCCAGTAGGTCTGAAGGTGAGTGGTTTTGTAGAGTTCGGTGTTGCCGATCGTCACTATTTGTTGGATGACTATGCACCATAGCTTCTTGAAGAGGTTGTTGATTGAGGAAGTAACTGGCCGAGTAATTAATTGGCACACCGAGTGCTTAGCATGTGTTCAATGCGAGCAATTCAAGCAGACACGGGCTTCACTTCCCTATACCTGTCTCCGGCGACCGGTTACGAGTAAACCTACACTTTCTCATACTAAAGCATGATCACAGTCCAAACCGGTACTCCGGAAAGAGTGGCAATCCTCCACTGATCCTCTTCAAAGTTGGCTTATAACAATGTGATCATTCTGTGTTCATCGTTGGTTTAATGCCACTGGACGCCCTGCAAGACAGTTTCTCTGCTGACACTCAAAAGTATGGCTGGCCAGAAACGAGTGGTTATCGGAACGAAATTGTAACAGACTATCATCACTGTCGATTATTTGGCATACGACACTGTGAATACTTCCAAGATGGCTTTCCGACTGGATCAGCTCACGTTTCCTACTTGTACGTTAAAGTCACCTGCTATCACGACTATGTCTGAACGCTTTGTTTTCTGTAGCAAATTAACAGGTTTGTGATAGAATTCATTCAAAGTGCAGCCAGTGGGTTCGTACACTATTATTAATGGGCATCAACAAGTCTCACGACCCTTCCAAGTTCTCACAAATTCATTAAATCGAACAGCACAGCCTGGGGAAGTTGTAAGAGGCTAAATGTCGGTATCAGGAAGTGAAGGCAAAGGTAACGATGGATAATTGTTTTATCGGATTTTGTATACTACTGGAAGGGTGTATATAGTTGATACTCCTCGGCTACGAACACGGTGGAAGTTATTTCTGCAGGGAACTTGAAACAGGAAAAGATTTTCGTGACTGCAAAGTCCATGGGACATCTGCTTGAGGTTTGTCACATATAGCCTTTTGAGGACTTTTGACTTGCGATTTGGTTTTCTTACCGCCAGATAAGGAGAACCCATAATGTTGGCACCAAAAGACTGCAGGGCAGGTAGGATATTGCGCTATTTTGAGGACCAACCTTCTCTAACCACCCCCTTTCCAACAGGGAAGGCAGTATCAGCATGGTACTGTTCGTCGTCCGCGGGGAACGCCATACTGCTGTCACACTCAGTTCTGCTAGCAGTACGACTTCGCCCTTGGACCCCCATCATAGCGTAAGCTTAAGCTATAACGGCAACTGCTTTTTGTCTTGTCACTCACTATCCAATAGACCTTCCTGTAATGTTAAGACCGCAAAGAACAAGTGTTTCAATCAGGGTAGCTTGTTAGGTCAATGTAATGTGAAAGCCTGACCACCACATGAAGATAGTAGCAATCGGTCGAGGGAAAAATGCATACCTCTTTAGTGACAGATCAAAACAATGAATATAATACTATCAACAGTAGATGTGACAAGTAAGAAACAAGATGTATACGGAAATGACATCACTAAATTGGGTCCTCGGCGCACACTGCTGAGAAATTAGCGGTTCCTTATTGTTGCTTCACCGATAAGGTACTTTGAAACCAATCAATACGCCCCTCACAAACTTCTGAATCATAAAATTTCCAAGATATGTGGAAATATCTCCAATCCATTGTCACATAATGCGACCCGGTTTACAGCTTAGTGAGAAATACATATTACACCTGACTGAATTCGAAGTTTGAAAACAATTCTACAATATACAGTTTCATGAGACTAGCACGCATAGTTTGCACAACGTCAGTCAACTCACAATAAATTACCAATATTTAAATACTAAGCCATTTGTGTTGAAATACAATCAAAATGCATTTAGTAAGCATATGTAGGTTTGTGCATTAGGCAATCAGCCACACCTATTATTTGAAGGTTAATGATACTGTAGTGGGTGTTGCTGATAAGAATGAATATAAGTAGTATATGTTGAGAGGGTGGGAGAAATCGTAGGGAATTGCCAGCAACGGGTAAGGATTCTGTCAAGAGAAACGCAAGAGATAATGCAGGCGTATGAAGAGCAAATCAAGAGAGAAGCAGAAGAGGAAATGAAGTACATTTTGCAAACGACTACCATCCCACTGTTGACAATAAACATTCTTTTCTTCGTATCCGTCTTCTTGCTTCTTTCAATACGCCTGGCTACCAAGGTTTAGGTATATGGAGGGGGGTTCGAACCCTCGATCCACTTGGTTGAAAATTGAGTGCCTAGACCAATAACTCACTGTCCTACAGTCAAACGAATATTAAAACGTATAACGTATAGTAAAACGCATAACAATAACAAGTGATGGCACTACGAATTAAACGTATAAGAATACCTACAAAACAATATTATAAAAATAACGGTTTTGGCAAAAGCTTCTTCGACAAGTAGGAAATGATACACTCAGAAATAACTCGATGAGTTCAATACTCTTGTCTTCTGTTTCTCTAGGCAACAGTCCGTCAGTCAATATCAAAATACGATACGTCAATACTGCATAGCGGTATAAATTGCCACACCTCACATCACACAGAGATACAAAGCAACAAGATGAAAGACCGAGAAATAAGGAAGAAAAGTTCAATCGACGTAGTGGAAGGTGATCGGAAAAGAGGGAAAACGGTTCAAACCATTAATCGGAGAATTCACAGACTGACACTGCGTTTTAGTTTTGCAACCCCCCCCCCTCCTCACAACCAACAGATACGTTTTGAACGCCTTATTGTTCAACCTAATCAGTTTCGAGGCATAAGACCTCTTCCAACCACTGACTTTAGTCGTTTTTCACTACCGTAACCGAGTGGAGCTGTGGCTCAATGGTTCAGGGTGATGACCATCAATTAGTGGGTTCGAGCCCGCCCCACCTACCGAGGTTTGGATAGCCAGACAGTATCACTATCCCTCACACAATATAATAGGTGTGGCTAGTTGCCTATCGGTTTAGTGTGCACAGGGTTGCTGAGTGTGTTTCTTTTCAATCGTAACCGACGAAAACATGCTCGTAAAAGTATGTATACCAACATTTTTACCATAAACAACAGAAACTTGTGCATTTTTAAACAATAGTATACTTATTTATCTGTGGATAACATACCTGACACTGGATCCAAACACTGACTTGATGGAATACTTGTACACGTCAAGCCCATACGAGTCAATAGACTGATCACTTCTGTTTCTGAGAATTTTGTACCCAACTGTCTGTTTATATAATCGATACTGACAACTTCATCACGATAATCTAAACGCTAAAAATTTTGCATTTTAAAACTTAATTGAGAAAAAGCCTCTGCAGATGTTTTCTTTAAACATTCTGTTAGGTATGAGATATGGTGAAAACGACAGGAGGTTAGGAATTCTGTGATATTATGGTACAATAAATACATCTTAAAAATTACCAGTCAGTGGTATAAACAAACGAATTCCGGCCATTAATGCGAGGATTCGAAAGTCACTTCACATTTATCAGAGTTTGGGAAACTGAAGTGATTATATTGGAAACAAATGACAACCTAGAACTGATCAATAAGGTCACATAGTTACTGTAATATTCAAGAGTAGATTAAAAGGTTGTCTCTGAAGACACAAATAAATTACTATCTTTGAAATGTGCTATTCTAGACTGGCACAGTCCTCTTACTTTTTACATGTCTACCTATACAAGCTTTCATGCATTTCTTACACCCTCGTTGATTTGGATCAAATAAGTTAGCGTCGAAGAAATTCTACGGTGGGTATTGATGGGGACAGTTATTTAGCAGGAGACTTTTGCATTATAAGTATCTCCATGTATCGTTCTATTGTTTGATGTCAAAACAGGTCAGAAAGCATTTACTTGCTTGATGACATTTCGAGCGTAAATTATTGCCCATATTCACATAAATGTAATCACACAACTTTCGATATCTGATTTTTATCATCTCATATTCATTGTTTTTATTGGTAATAAAATAATTCCACATCTCCCGCATGGGTGTTGCGTCATTCCTATTACATATGTTGGGTGTTGATTCGACGAATGAAAATTCAGTAATCAATCTTTCTCTCCACTTAATTACATTGAACTTAAATACAATGGTCTTATTCCACCCTGTATCACTGCGTGCTATATATCAAGTAAACAAATCTAATATGGAATTACATTTTACCACAGTGCCTGAGTTTTACACCTATATTAATGGAAAGCATTTATTCTGTTAGTACGTCAAGAGTTTGCAAGATTCTCCATTCATGGTAAGAATCATACAAAATGTGTAACCCGGTTTAAAAACAGCTGGATGACGTAAGTGGCTTTTAGCTAAAATCATGGAAAATATTTGTAGCTCAGGAGGATGATTCTGATGGTGTTGTGTTCTTTGAGCTGGATGGCTCAATCGTGAAGCCGTCATTCTCATCCCAACAACATCATCAGAACAAACTTCATAAGGAAGTGAGCTATAGGATTTTCTCCACAGATGACCACAAGTGGAGACAACCCCTTAGGTAACTTCTTTCTGAAGTTTCTGCTGATGATGTTGCCTTGGTTGTGTTCTCTGAGCTGGTTTGTTCAGTCGTGGAGCTCTCATCTAGAATGACAGCGAAATTCTCACGATTAAACCATTTAGCTCAGAGGTTTTCAACTAGCTATGTAAGTCAGTTTTGCATACATCACGCTTTTTTCTTCTTTTGTTTAAGAAAATCTTCTGCATTGAACTGTTAGAAATAGTCGGAAACTTTGTTTACTTGGATGACTGTTGTCGCTCATGAAGATGGAGTTAGTATGAGGAATCTTCTTAAACACAAAACAACAGTAGTACGTACCACCGTATGCCGCGTGGGACGCTGATTTCATGGGATTAGTAGGCGAAGATGAGATGAACGATGCCCATATGAATGCAGTTCTAGCTTACGGATGGGAGGTTTGATCTCATCGCACTGCAAATGTTTGATTTTCTTTTGTATTCTATCACAACTATCTCTTTGATTCGATCATGATTAACAGTGAAGTTAAACGTCATGTGTTTTGGTGTGGTGAAGCACAGTAATACACTAGTTGTTACTTAGTAACATTTATGGTAGCTCATGTTTCGCATCATTCCAGAAAGTTAGATACCGATCTCAAAAAGATAGTAGCCAGTTTATAATAGTGTTCTAGTGAATTAGTCTTTTCAGTGCACAATGGCCTACTTGGTGAAGTCTGACAGAAAGACAAGAAGAAGTGAACTACAACGGTTTTGATATCAGCTATGAACCTTTTTAATGCTAAACCAATAGCATACCGTGTTACTTTGATTCCTTGTATTTGAGACTAGGAGTCAGTCGGCAGGAAGTCCTCGACCTAATCTTCATTCTTGTTGGTGCTCACCAGCAAAATGTACAGGTAACCATAAGGGGAATGGTGTGTCCTCGGTGGTTAGAACTTGTGTCAGTGCTTAAAGCAGTCAGAGACTTCCCCACTAGGTTATTCAGACCACAACTGACCTCTTTTAAAACTGGAATATGTACACGAACTGGACACCAGCGGATAACTGATGTAGCTTCCATATTTCAAACATAAACATCAATAAATCTGCCAAAACAGTTTGACTCTGGAGCAAATTACAAATGATTTATGTAACGATAATTAGCTAGCTACTTTATCAACACTCACCGGATATAAACAACGACTGCCATCATGTTGGATAATTTCGACTGATTCAGCGCTACAAAATAAGGGGAAAATATTAATTGTTTTATTATTCTTCGTACAAATTCTGGAAACGCTTATTCAAATTAAACTGTTTGCTGGTTGATCTACTGGTCGACAGACGTTTCAGTCCCAAACAAGTCATAACTGAAAGAAGAAACATTTTACCATACATTAAATCTAAACAAGGCAAATAAGTAGTTATATAAGTAGCTAGTTTAGATTGTAAAAGGAAGAATGATTCAACCAGAAGATGTTCAGCGATAAACAATGCTTCATTATGCCATATCCCCCGTCTCCCAACCTGCCTAGGTCAGGTAGGTGAAAGAGACTACTTCCTTCAGGTTTCTCTCGTTGATGGTGATTGGAGCTTGTTGTTGGTTGGGTATCTTCATCACCTCTGTCTTCCCTACATTCACTTGAAGTGCCGTCTTTGCTGCCTCACCTCTTCTGTCAACTTGTTGGTTTCTGCTTGTAGATCTTCGAGTTTGTGCGACAAGACATTAGACATAAGTCATCATCGGTGAAATCCAAATCTTCTAGGCTCTTTTCATCGGTCCAGTCAGCGTATGCCATCTTCTTGCTCCTCATAATTTGCTGCATGACCTAGTCCAGTTCATCACAACCAGCAACATCATGGGTGATAGTAGACAATCTTGTCTTACTCCTGTCTTCACTTCAAGGGCATCACTGAGCTTCCCGTTTTGAATCATTTGGCATGTAGCCCAATCATATAGCATACAGCTGTTGTATGATGTTGATAAAGGTTTGTGGCACTAAGACCGTAGTGTTGAAGCAGTTTCCAAATGACTTCTCGGTCGACGCTGTCGAAGGTCTTTTCAAAGTCGATGAAGTTGAGGTAAAGAGTTGACGGTCATTCTATGCTCAGTTCTATAATGATGAGCGGCGTAGCAATTTGACCCGCACATGATTTATTTTTCCTGAAGCCAGCCAGCCTGTTCCGGTAGTAATTTTGAATCCAGAGCATCTTTCAGTCTCTCCAGGATGATGCGGATATATATTTTGCTTGGAGTGGACAGGAGCATGATTCCACGCCAGTTGTTGCAAAGACTTAGACCACCCCTCAGTAACTCTTACAAAGTGCTTTTTCATGGTCGTCGATGAAATTGAGCCAAGTACTTTCACCAGACTGATGAATATCAATTTAAAAGCTGATATTTTCTTATCTATTCTATAGATATGACTGAGAAGTCATTAAAAGTCATCAGCGGCTGTTTATCAGCACAATGGACAACAACAGCGGGGGGAATTTGAGCTATGTGCTGTTCATTATTTAGGGGATAGTAAGGAATTGATGCATCCATGCCACGACAGCTGATTGCAAAGAATATCGTTTACCTCGCAAACCCCAAAGTGAAATAATAAACTTGCCTACTAAGGTAGGAGCAACATTCAGACACTTCATCTTACAACTATCAAGATTTGAATACCCACCTTTACTCAATAATCAAAATTGGCTGTTGAAGTATGCGATAAATATTATCTTTCTTCTGTCAGCAAAGACTCACAACCTTATCAAATGATTTAATTTATTCCTCGGTGCCTTGCACCTAACACATGAAAGAGATACTATAACACCAAACCTCATCATTTGGGCTTTCAACTAATCCCACAAGTTTTGAAATTACTTAGTAAGCGAACTGCAAACATAATGATTAAGCTCCATTTGAGTGTTTTTTATAGATGTACCACACAAGGAAACAGTATTATTTGCTGAATCATATATACAGGGAACTGGAATTATAATTTACGACAGTGCCCAATTTCCACTATTACAATAATATACTATAAAACTGCTAGAGAACTTACGTAAACGGTTTTTCACAGTACTCCGAAAACATTGTGACAAGCGTGTCGAGAACAACAATAGCTTTATGTAAATCTGTTCCAGTTGCCTCAATGAATATATTCCGTGTTTTCGTAGTGATACGAGAATGTTCGCCTACAAAGCATAAACAACACCCATTGTAGGCAAAATAAAATGTGATAGACCTGTCAAATGCACTATAGTTCCTCAGGACTCATTTGCATAGACTTGCAGATTATGGGTAGGAAGTATAGTATTGGAATGTGTTGAAAACCTCACTTCAGAAGTTGCATCAGCCCGAACCACCTGGTGGCTGATGAAATCTCAGCTTGGATACATAAGGCTCGTTTAGCATTTGCCAACTTGCGTTATATTCGGCTCCGACTAGTGACATGTCCCACTACTTGTTAAAGGATGAGGATACTGCCCCGCATTTCACTCTCTCCCATTATACGGCGTGTCAAACATGGCCGTTGAAAATAGAAGATATGAAAAGTACTGGATCATGAGGGCGATTTGGTCGGTGGGGTGTGAACCTTCACTAGCTGTGACTTAGAAATATGTTGTAAATGCCAGCTACCAGCTACCTCAAAGTACAATGTTAGTGTAAGGAGAAAAAGGTTGGAAAAGGTGAGATTCAGGGGGACCAGACCAAGACGTGGCACCACTTCATCAAGTCATTGACTGTTGGTCTGGACCCATTAAAAACGTAAAGACCGTTTGGCTGGGGTCCTGGAGAAGGTAAGAGTCAATAGATGAAGACTCTTTGGGATATGACTGAAAGTTGGTCACCAACCTACGTACTCGGGTTTCCGCCAACCGATAATATTACCAACCGTCATACAACAGATGTGATTTACAGTTTGGCACAAAGATCTACGCATGACTTGATTTGTATATTAGAACCTACTAATCCGGAAAAATAAGATGGTATGTAATAGTATTACAGAAAAAAACTCAAAATTCACTTACCATTTATTATTGGAGGCATTGACAGTACTACATTAGAGCTATCCATTATGATAGGATATTTGGGCTCGTCTTGAATTAATGGAAGATATTGTTTCAAGTGTGAATCACCCTAGAACAGAAAGTGGGAAG